GCGGGGGACGGGGGGTGCAGCTTAAACCCACTGGAATTATCTCATCCCTGAGGCCTGAAGTCGAAGGTCAAGGTGTCACAGGGCCATGCTTCCTCTAGAGTCTTCAGGCCCCTAGGCTTGTTGCTGTCTCTGTCTTCTCGTGGCTTTTTTCTCTCCCATGTGTCTGTGTCCAAATTTCCCTCCTACAAAGACAGCTGTCACTTCATCAGGGCTACCCTACTTTGGTACAGTCTTAATGACATCTGCAAAAACCCTCTTTCCAAATAAGATCCTGTTCACTGGTACTGGGGGTCAGGCCTTAACATGTATTTTGGGAGGGGTGCACAATTCAGCCACAATAGGGATCTGACTGGAGTGGGGTAAGCGAGGCCAGCAAAGCCACTGACTGACCAGGAAAGATGCCCACTGATTCCTCCTAGAACTAAAGCTTCATGTTAGGCAGGAGCCTGCACTTGTAATAGGGGCTCCTGGTGACTTGGGACCGGGACAGGCTCACATGGAAAAGCCGCTTCTGGAGATGCTGCTTATTAATTTTTAAAATAAATAATGCAATACACCGAAGTCTATGGAATTGTGCACATTGAATGGGTGAACAGCACAGTATGTGAATTCTGTCTCAACAAAGGTGTTTAAAAATACATCTTAAAGGTACCTAAATCCTCACCGAATGAGGCATCCCCCCTCTGTCCCAGCAAGAGTTGGCCCTGTGGAAATTTCTGGAAGGAGAACCTGCTTGGCTCAGCTCAGAGAAATCCTGTGGGCAGGGGATGTGGGACGGAAACAATGAGGATATGTCCGTGTCTTGACAGTAGTGATGTCAGTGTGTGGTTCACTGGGATCCTGTTGCACACCTTCGTCAGGGCCCCAGGGCAGCCCTTCCCAGCTCTCAGGAAGCAGCCACACACGGCCAGGGCCTGATGAGAACCCCCTGAGGCTGGCCTGGAGCAGCCCTGTCACCCTTGGGCCAGGGAGGGAAGGGACGTGCCAGACTAAGATAGGGAGACCCACTCCACTCCATGGTGGGTGTCCTCAGAGGTCATACTGTGCTGCAACAAGTGATGGTGGCACCTGGAACCTATGAACAGGGCCTTACAGGTAGACCTCAGAAATATGGCAGGTTCATTTCCAGACCACCGCAATAAAGCAAGCTGTAACCATTTTGTTGATGGAGAGTCTTCCCTTCAGTTTGTAAAAATGCAACATCTGGGGCCTAAAAAGATGCCAGGTCTGGCAGCCACGTGCCCTTCTCAGACACAGAAGCCTCTGAAGCCTTGCTGTACCTGCCCAGAGACCAAGAAGGAGAGTGATGTGTGCATCATTGAGAAAGGAGAAGAGTACTGTGGGCACCTAATTAAGACCCACAAGGACTGCATGAGAGCCCTGGGATTTAAGATATGAAATGCTGGTCTGCTCTGTGAATAATTCCTGAAAAATGAAGATAACTTCCCAGAGGAAATGAAGAAACAAAAGCTTATGGCCCAGGAGTAAATTCAACATTCAACATAAAAGAAATGCAATAAAAGTAAAAAAAAAAAAAAAAAAACCAGCCAGCGTGGCTCAAAGGTCAGACATCCACCTATGAACCTATGATTCAGGAGATCGAGGTTCAATTCCCCGTGAGGGCACATGCCTGGGTTGTGGGCTCAATCCCCAGCAAGGGGGTGTGCAGGAGGCAGCTGATCAATGACTCTCATCGTTGATGTTTCTCTCCCCCTCTCCCTATCTCTGAAATCAATAAAAAATATATTTAAAACAGTGGGGGGAAAAAGAATGAAGATGATTTAATAATTTGGGGAATTCCCTGGTCAAACAAAAAGTATGCATTATCTGTGAAGTGTGATAAAATAGGTTCTTCCTGCCTTTGAAAACAGGCTTTGCATATGTAATCAAGGAAAGGATCTGAGATGAAGTCATTTTACATTATCAGGGGGAGCCCCAAATCAATGACAGTGTCCCTGTAAGAGAACAGGAGAGAGACAGATACACAAGAGACAGAAGCCACGGAACAAAGGAGGTGGAGACTGCAGTGATGTGACCACAAACCCAGGGACACTGGAACCCCCAGAAGCTGGAACAGGTAGGAAGGACCCTCCCCTGGGGCCTCCAGAGGGAGCACAGCCCAGCACTGTGACACCTTGATCTTGGACTTCTGGCTCCAGAACTGGGAGACATTAAATTCCTGTAATTTCAAGCCAGCTGGTGAATAGTCAGTTATGGCAGCATGGGAAATGAATATAGTGAGTGTCCTTTTTAAAATGATAAAACAGCCTGGCCAGTGTGGTTCGGCTGGCTGTCGTCCCATGCACCAGGAGGCTGCCGGTTAAATTCCCAGTCAGGGCACATGCCCAGAGTTTCGGGCTTGATCCCCAGGAGAGGGGTGCATGAAGTAGCCCATTGATGTTTCTATCGCTCCCTCTCCCTCTTTCTGAAATTAATTTTTTTAAACATTTTTAAAAATTTGTTTTAATAAAATGGTAAAACATACAAACACCACAGGACTCTCATGTGACTGGTGGATGGCTGCAGCTACTTCAAAAAACAGTGATGGCACACCTGAAAGTAGAGTAATGTCATACATCAATTATACATCAATTTTTTTAAAAAAAGTTTGGCAGTTTCTTCAACAGTTAAATATATGCTTCCCTGTGAGCCAGCCCCTCCATTCCCAGGCACCTACTCAAAAGAAACCAAGATACACGTTCTACCTGGGCATGATCATCCATCGCAGCTTCATTTGTAATAGAAAAAAGCTGGAAACAACCAGGGTGTCCTTCACGTGAGTGAACACACAGGTCCATGCACGGCACAGAATACGACAGCAACGGAAAGAACAAACTGCTGACAGACACAACAGCTGGATGACTCAGAATACTTATGCTTCATGGAAGAGGCCAGACATCAAAGAAAATATACTATATGACTCCCTTTATATAAAAGTCTAGAAGATGCAGACTAATTAATAGCAGCAAAGAGCAGATTAGTGGCTGGAACTGAGAGGGGGCAGGGAAGGTGTTCATATCAGTGGTGGTGATGGTTGCATGGACATGCACATGTCCAAATACCAACTTGTGTATTTGTTTTAAATATGTGCATTTTGTATGTCAGATATACATCAATAATGTTGTAAAACTCTAAAAAGAAACCACAGATGCATGGACAAACACAATGTGTCCATCCAGAAACTAGAATATTACTCAGCCATGAAAAGGAGTGAAGCACTTGTAGTAACTATGGATGGTGCCATGTGGATACTAGACTTACTGGGGGGAAATCACTTCATAAATTATATGAATGTCTAACCACTATGCTATACACCTGAAACTAATGTAATACTGAATATCAACTATAATTGAAAAAAGGAGTGAAGTACTGACACTTGCTACAACATGGATGAAGCTTGAAAACATGACGCTCAGTGAGAGAAGCCAGATAAAGCCATAAAGTGTGATCCCATTTATGTGAAATGTCCAGAACAGGCAAATCCACAGAGACAGGAAGTGGATTCATGGTTGTCAGGGGCTGGGGAAGGATGGGTAGTGACTGCTGATGGGGATGGGGATGGGACTTCTTTTAGGAGAGATGAAATGTTTTGGAACTAGACAGAAGTGGTAGTTGCACAACCTTGTGAATGCATGGAATGCCACTGCACTGTACACTTTAATGATTAATTATATGTTATGTGAATTTCTCATCAGTAAAAACAAAAAAGGAGTTCATTTTACCCACCTAGGGGCAGATAGGAACCCACAGGAAATCCAAGAGGCCTGGGCAGAGGGTCAGCAGGGTGAGAGGGAGGTCAGAAGTTCCTGCTACCCACCATCTCCTCTGGTCACAGAATCCTAGTTACTCTCTTTTGGGGATCCTCTTCTTCCCGTTTCAGCACATGTCCTCATATAAGAAGGGCTGACTCTGCCCTGTTTCCACAGCAGGCTAACAAGAACCAGCTTTGGGACATTTTCTGCAATTATTGGGAAAGAGGTACCATCTTCTTGCAAGGGCTGCTGGAAAATGAACCCAGAGTTTGCAGGCAATGCTGCCCAGAAAGAGTTTGCCAGATAATGAGGGTGACACAGAGGAAAGGGCTGAGAGATGAAAAAAGAGATTCATGATATTGCTAAACTCCTGAATCCAGCCATGCCTGAAGCTATACAGCATGCCATTAAACTTCTCTTACACTGGTTTTTGCTCTTTCCTTATCACCTAAAAGGAAAAGGATTCTGCCTTGTGAGCTGGAATATATTATACAGAAGGAGCAATGGAGGTAGGGCTTTAGGAACTACTAGATCCAGGACCTGAAGCCCCAGGCCTCCATGCCATGAATGCTAGTCTTTTCAGGCAGCTTTAGTCTGTCTTTCTCCTCGTTCTCAACAATGATTATAATAACCCCTATTTCCCACTGTTTTAGTTTCCATCAAGGACAGAGGCTTTTTCAGGTTCTCTCTTATACTAAACTCAAAAACTCTGGCAACTGAAAAGAATGAGAAACCAGATCATAATCACTACATACTATTGCTGGCTCCCAAACCGGGGCTGGGAGCCCGGGGCAGGGGCAGGTGAGGACACAGGGAGCAGATCTCAGGAGGCCACGGCTGGGTTTGGTAACACACCCACGGCGTCCTGAGCTTACCTCCAGGCCTGCTGCCTCCGACGCTGGGCCCGAGCGAGCCTGGGCAGCGGTCAGCAGAGAAGTGGAGGGCCCGGTCTGGAGGCGCATCTATCAGGGGACTTGAGTGTCCTCGGCGCCTGGGTCTCGCCGCCCTCCGCCGCTGGGAAAAGGAAACACCCGCTCACAAACGAAAACGTGCAGAAAATTTCCAACAGACAACCGCGAGGAAAAAACAGGTTCGGGGAAGTTCTGCCCTTTGGCCAAGGCTCCAATGACAGCTGGTCAGTAACAGCCCGACTCCTCTAGAAGTGGGTTCACATCGCACCCTGTCCCTGTGGGCGACCCAGGACAAGTCCCCTCCTAGCTTGGTCTCAGTTCCGTTCATTGTAAATAAAGTCTGGCACGTAGTAAAAACACGAAGCCACCAGCCAAATGTCGTGGGCTGTCCTTAGCAGCCAGAGGCCGCGCAGCTGAGAGCCACTGGGACAGCCGGCGCCGAGACTGAACTGGAGGACCTGCGTGACGGATTTACAAGGCTGCCTACTCTCGCCCACATCTCAACGTCATCCGCCCCGCCCCGGAAGTAACTTAATACATTCCGAGTCTGCGCGCGCATGTCACGTGGTCGGCCCGCCCCGGACCGGTCATCTCTGCGCGCCTACGCAGTGCGTCCTGGCCTGGCGAAACCGGGGTCACCCTGAGCTGCAGACCGCGACGCGATGCTGGGCAAGTTCCTGGGCCCGCGCTACCGCGAACTGGCCAAGAACTGGTGAGGTCCCGGCCTCCACCCTCGGCACCCCGAACCCGCCCTC